AAATAAATATTACTTTTTATAAATTAAAAAAACATTAATACAATTGCTAATGATGCAGTATTGTCAACAATTGTCAATGAAAAATATGACGTTATAAACTTGACATTAGCGAACATAACGAAACCTAGCGGCGTATTTCCGAAAATGATCTTTCCTTTTCTTTCCAGTCGCGTTTGCTAGTTATTTTCGTATGTCGATCGCCCTCCTAGTATCTAGCTTCCGTGCTTGTAACTTACTAATTGCAAGTGGTAAAAGAAGTATTCACGAATAAAACAACGACTTAGTGACAATAAACTGTGACATACGTGATAATTGATTTACTTTACTCCAATAATGGTTAATTGCTAAATTTGATATTACGTTAATAATCGATAAAATCAATACATTGAATACATATAGAATATATGTAGATAATAAAGTATCTAATTTTTGTGTTTTAATGTAGAAAATTTTAATTATTCTTCATCAATTTCTAATACCTTAAAATAGCATATAAAAATGCCAATTAAGAAATGGAGGAAGTTAAGGTATGTTTATTATATTAATGATATGTTAATTATATTTTCTTATAAAAAAGTAATTTTTATTTCAATATGATATACAATTTAATATAATATATAATTTTAATTTTTAAATTGTATTATGTTTTAATTGTATTATAATATAATAAAATATTTGATTTGTTTAAGTAAAGCACAAGTGAAGTTAGCAATTATTAAAAAGAAACAGTTAGAAGTTATAGCCTTTAAAATTGTTGAACAACTTCTGGAACCCATTGTTGAACCACAATGGCTCCTTCAAAATGTAAGTATTTGTATTTATTTGTATAATATTTTTGTTTAAATGTTCTTATATATATAGTTTTAAATGTTTTATATATTATAGTTGCAACATATCAACAGAAGTCATATGGAAGATGTAATCGAAGAAAGAGCAATAGAAAAACTATGTGGTTATGTTCTTTGTAAAAATCCTATAACGGTATTAATTACTCAACAATTTCATATATCTACAAAAAGGAATAAAGTTTATGATGTTACAAAGAGAAAGAATTTTTGTAGTTCACATTGTTATGCAGCATGTAATTATCTTCTCCAACAAATGCTCACAAGTCCTCTTTGGTTTAGAGACAAAGAAAAAATACCAGTGTTTCATTTATTATCCTCAAAAGAAGATATGCTTGGAGATGAAGTTCTCATAAAGGATTCAGATATTCCAAAAAAAAATGATAATGAATATATAGAATCTACTGAAAAAAATGAAGAAAATAATATATTAGACACAGTAACAAATGCTTGCAATCAATTACCAAAAAGTAATGACAAGGTATCAAGTATTAAATCAAGTGAATGTACAGTTCTGGAAAATAAATCTTCAAAACACTGTGTACCTAAAGATATACAAACAGAGGATTCTGAAGTGCCTAATAATAAAAGTAATATAAATTTAGAAAATCATCAAAATACAATGACAAATAAAAAAGCTCGAAATTTACTTAAAAATAATAACTGCTGTGATGAAAACTTCAATGAACAGGCAGAAATTATTCAAAAATGCTATGAAATACCTGTTTTGGGAGAAAGTCTTAAAATATTTTCAGATAATGAGGAAAACACACACATACACACACGTGACAAAATAGTAGCAAGTATGCCTAGTATACAAATAGTCGAAAGAGATTATAAAAACAATATGAAAACTAATGAAATTGTAATAAAAAGTGAAAATATCTTTGAAGACAAAAAATTATATCCTATTGAAAATGAAAAAAATAAATATGAAAATTTACAAAATATAAACGATAATAATGTAAAGAAAAAAGAAACATCTAACAACTTAGAACAGTTGTCGACTAAATTTTATACGTTAACAATGCATGTTGAGAAGAATATTAAAGAATGGATTACAGAAAATACTCTTTCCTTTTTACAAGGAAATGCAGATACGAGATCTGAATTAATGAAACATTTTACCCAACAAGAAAAATATTTACAGTTATGTACAAAATTAAATAAATTAGAACTAATAGATAAAAAGGAAAATCGTACAGACTTATCTAATTATACATTAAAACCTCTACCTGATTTTTCTACATTAGAGAAAGAAGCAAAAAAAATGAATCTAAGGGTATGTCATATTTTTAAAATAACAATCATTTGATGTGCGTTCGTCTATATAGATAAAATATATAAGTATATATTTATTCGAAGGTACATGCGTTTTACAATGGACGTATGATAATAGATCCTCATGAAAAAATTGCAGAAAATAAAGAACCAAGTGAACCGTCTTATCTATTACCTTTAGTAGATTCAGTTGCACCTAAAGCATTACGTCGTAAGATCTTTTTGGACAAACTTCATAAAATGTAATTTTTACTTTATTCGTCTGTTAAAATTGTTTCATATTTTAAATTGATTTTAATTTTTATACTTTATTGTTTTTATTACAGATTATCAGATTTGTTGAATATGTTAGCTGAAAGTACCAAATGTAATTCAATAATGGAATATATTTATGATAGTAGCCATTATGTCTCTGTAAAAGGTTTAGTAAATACCTTTTCATTATCTGCTACAAACATAGTTTTCAAAACTGCTGAATGGATTCTTGTAGGACTTATAATTATAAAAATGTACGCAATTTTTTCTAATAATAGATCCTATTGATTTTAAGAAGTAATATATACATTTTAATAACGCATAATTTAAATTTGAAAATTATTTTCAGGTTAAGTATAATAAATCCACAATTGAAAGCTTTATTAGCAACGAAACAAGCATCAATGTATATTTCAATGATACTAATGTCGTATAAATTAGATTCATATTATTTAGATAGGTTTATAATTGAATTAACAAATAATTTAGAAATATTTAAAATTAAATAAATATAAGTTTGAGAGAACAAGAGAAGAGAGAGAGAGAGAGAGAGATAAGGTAGATGAATTCATCTTTTCAGACAAATTAGTTGTACGAATGATTAGGTGTAATAAAGCCTTCATATTGTCTATAAATTAAATAATAAAGCTACACATATATGTAGTTTGTCTTTATTATTTTATTTTTTAATAAAAGTGCTTAGAATGTACATCATTATCAATTGATAAGAAATACAAGTAATGTGAKGTTCCATGATCAAATGTATATAAAAGACAATCATTCATCATTATTTCATAAACTTTAAAAATTAAAGTGAATTTGTTAATGTAGTAGGAACTCCCATGATAGGCGAAGAAGGACAATCTAATCCTAAAGTATCCATTTGAGATGATGATGGTAATGCTTCTTGCATGGATCGATTGCCTATTTTATCTCTTAAGGATTCATATAAAGCTACGGTCTCACTATGCTGAAACGATTATAATATTAGAAAAACAATATATACACATATTCATTTTGTAAGAAACAATAATACCTGACTAGTTGGTTGTAAAGCTTTCAGTAAAGAATGTAATCTAGCGGGTGGTAATTTTGGATGAATATACCAAAGTAATTTTAATAAATGACGCGTAACATTATCTCTGCTTAAACCTGCCAGGAAAAATTCATCAAATATTACAGTACAAAATGATTCATTAGAGAACTCATCAGCCATATTCAGTATTAATAGTGAAACCTAAAAAAATAAATACAATCACATGATTCTTTCAAATGATTTCTTATATAACTCAAGTTATTCCTTTACTTACCAGAGTGTGTAAAAAAGGATCTTCAAATGCACGTTGTGCTTGACAATTTGTTAAAGTAGCTAATACTCTCATTAAACCTCTTGCRTCTCCTCTTCCTTTTCCTATACTACCTCCACCTCCTATTTGTAATGTGTAATACATTGATAAAACTGCAGCCACTYCAGATAATTGTGCATATGCCTGACATGCATCAGGAGGTGGGCCGGAATGTTCTATAATAGCAATTGCACTTTCTCTTTCATCAGGGGGTAGTCTACAGTTCAATTGTCTGATTTGATCATCTACCTACACAATATTTCAAATAAAAATATGGAAAACAAAATTATAATGCATGTAAAATTAAAATACATTACATACTTAATATATTTATAATATTTACCATAAGGGACATTAATGCTGGTACAAATTTTGTAACAACTTGACTATCAAGTTTTGGTTCTTTAAACTCTTGTGAATCAATCATTTGCCAAGCAGATAAACCTAGAGCAAGCATCCTTAATAACAGTACAAGAACAGCATTATCTCGTGGTAATGCTTCACTATTAATTAAGTGAAGAGATATTTTTATTGCACTACTAGCAAGAAAGTTTACTGCGTATGGATCACATAATGTCATGCTTAAATCTCCTAATACTTGTTCATGACCTCTCTATGTCAAATTAATATTTATATATTTACTTTTTTTATTATGTAATATAAAATTGTATCATAAGTATTACTATGTTTAACAAACCTTKATACTATCTAAAAATCCTTGTAATTCACGAGACCTTTTAACATCTACATTTTTCTCTCTAATACATGCATCTAAACACCAAGTGAACTTATGACAAGGATCAACCGAAATGATATCTTGTACCTATAAAGACATGTTAATTTTGAATTTGAARTGATACATTAACCGAAAATTTACTTTACCATTGTCTTACCTCTAAATCATGCAAGGCCATTAATAACTCAGCTCTRAGAGTACAATAGTGTATGTTTTTTGTACGTAAAAATAARGTACGTAAAAATTGCAATACCATATCATACAATTTTACACTATGTCCAATCATATGAGCTAATTTTTGAACAACTTCTCCTTGTCTTCGTACCTATGGATACAAATTTATTTTGAATTAATTGTTTTACATAATGAAATAGTTAGAATTATATAATCACTATATAAATTACTTTGGGAGATGGACTAAAGAAAAGACTATTCAAGTTATTATGATCGAAAAGAATTTTCTCTTTTTCCATTATATATTTACTGAATAATGGAGATACTTCATCYCCAAAAAGACTTTGATTGTCTTTCCAAATTTGTCTTTTTACTTCTGTATCAGCATCGTTATATAATTCCTTTTCTTTAACTAATATGCGTAAATATTTGTCTTCGATATATGGTGTATTTCTTAATATACACATAACAACTGGCCTTAATGCTGCAACTCTTACAGCAGTAAAGCTTTTAGAAAGTAATTCCTTTAATCTTTTATCACCAACACTAGATACTTTATCAGCTCTTTCAGCACCTATTTCATTTATTCGCTTTACCAGTTTCTCCCTTAATTCCTCTAATACGGAAGCATGAAAATCTAGTCGTCTAACTCCATGCAAATCGAGTAAAGGTAGCATAGGTCGCAATGAAGGTAAAAGGATACCATTTTCTACCTGTATTACAAAAATAAATATATACATAAATATATATTAAGAGTAGCAATTAATTAGATACTTCAATATTAAAAGAATTGGATTAAAATCGTAATTTTTGTTTCGTTAAGGAATAATATATATATGTATATAATGATAAAATTTAAAGTAAATTGCACAAAATAGTTTTTAATTTAACATACTTGAAATTGTTCTATAGCTTTCAAGGGATCTGTACAGCTTGTTAAGGCATCTCTTAAAAAGACTTGCCCAGGTACATTAAGATCCTCCAATCTATTTCCAGTTTCACCATTACTTTTTCCAGTACTCATTTTGCTTTTAATATTGTAAAGCGTTTAATTCTATAAATAATATTAATTAAAAATATCTAATCGTATACCACCTAAACTTATATTGTATGACTAGAAACATAAACATTTACCAACTTAACGGTAAATGTAGAACACGGAGCATGGAGGATAGATACCAGGAGTCCGAACGATATAGGATTTTTTAGGGATCCTATAGGAGGGATGCGCCATACATATTCAGCTCATGTGCCATTGGCTGAAAATTTTGGGGGACTGCTTCCGATCCCACGCGCAGCCATGTTTATCTTTAGTATGTATTAACGACTGTGGTTAGTTTAAGTTTGGAATACTTATAGTTTTTATTGTGATATTTATGTTTAATTATTTTTTTTTTTTTAGTAGTTAGTTTTTAGTAGTAGATTTTTCACATTTTTTGTGGTAGTCATTTCTTGACCCAGATCATAGTTTTCTTTTTTGCCACTGGCTGCGCAAGTATTCAGAGCGTACCCATACTATTATTATTATTACACGTAAATTAAATATAAAATATTAATTTATCTTTTTAGAATTATTTTGATTAAAAAATGGGAAAGTATTGTGCCGTTTATGGTTGCCTTAGTGACCGAAAGGCAAGTGAGAATTTAGGAAAAGTGGCTTTATTCAAAGTATCAAAAGTGAGTAACCTCAAAATAATATTAAAAATTTCATGTTAACAAATAATTGATTATTACATTTGTGTAGTTTTTAAATAATATTAATTCCATGTTTCTTAAAATATTTTTTTTCAGAGCTGTCAATAGCAACAAGACTTCCCGCGTAAGTATTTAAACGAGTACTCTGTGAAAAGCAGCGCGCCCTACCAGCAAAATATCTTGTCCCCTAAATTGATACCATTCTTTGAACATTACGTTCGGACTCTTGGTATCTATCCTCCGTGACTATAGATATAGGTATTCTCATCCGCCATTTTCGTTCCTTGAGTGAGCGGACAGTTTTAAAAAAACATATGTAGTGAGCGTTAGTCTGTGAGTTTTATCGTTATTTTTTTTGCAATTTTTTTAATTATTTGTGAATGAATGAAGAAGAAATTTTTATTGAAATCGTGTAATAGTCGTAGACAATTATTGATATCTGTCTGAAAACATATTGAAAAATACATTTTCAATAAAAATTTCTAAGCCCGTTACAAAGATTTTTGGGCTCTTTTCTAGCAAAAATTGAAGTTATGTTTATTCTTTTTGTATATAAATAGAACGATCATAATTTTGTAAAGTTTACAATTTCTTATTTTAACGCTTGCTTGTAATCATTTCTAAAATCATATTTTACACAACAGAATTAATTATTTTACTTATTACTATCATAACCTATAAAACTATAAAATATTTTTATTGACTTGCATTATTCACAAAAGTTACATATTATTTGTATTATTACTTAAAATGTATACAGCAATAATATTATCTTTTAAAAATATCTTTCACTTACATTTAAATTATATACATGTAGGTAAAAAAGTATATAAAAAATGTTTTGTTTCATAGACTTCAATTTTCAGTGCTTCAAAAAGAGAAGATGCCATGCTGTGCTGCAATTAATTGTAGCAACAGATCAGAAAAAGGCTTTCGRCTGTTTACTTTCCCGGCAAATAGTAAACGAMAGTCGATATGGATCCAAAATATGCGAAGAAACAATTGGTAACCAAGTTCTTCTTCTCGCTTATGTGAAGTAATATGTAGTTTTATTTTTGAAACATTAATTGTCCATTGTTATTGATTTATTAGTTATATATCAAAACATACTAACTTTTTAGCATGATTTAATTTATTTTTCCAACGAGAGGTGTTTTTAAAATTGTTTATTTCTTATAGGTACACTTTGAAAATTCTCAATTTGAAAGTAAACGTGCTGATGGTTGGAAAAAATTGAAGCCCAATGCTGTTCCTACATTGTTTAATGTACCAAATCCACCTCCAAGGATTGAACCACTTCCACGGAGGTCAGCATATAAAATAATAATAGTGATTCTACTCCAAAGGATGTGCAACTAGTCAAGATGATACCTTTTCAACCCCAAACTATGGTTGAATAAGCATCAATTCCTACAATATCAAATAATGTGGATATGATAGAAAGTGATCCAAAGAGTATATTTAAGAAGAAGGATACAAATATATTAATAGAAGAGCAAATTGACTAACTTCAGAAAGAAAATGAAGATTTGCGTAATCAGTTATAACAAGCAAAAACAGCATGTTATGCTGCTGTACAGCAAGAAAATGAAGAACTTCGTTTTAAAAGAGAGACTTTGGCTGCATTCTTAAATAATGATCAGATTAAAGTATTACAAAAAGGTCGCTTGAATCAATGGTCATTTGATCATTGATAATTGGTATTGATAATTTCAAATGAAAGTATTATTAACCCTTTCGCTACTACGAGCGACTATAGTCGCTCTCCATGTGATGCCACTCAGGTACTACGGGCGACTATAGTCGCTTTCCATGTGATGCCGCTCAGGTACTACGGGCGACTATAGTCGCTCNTTCTTAAAATATTTTTTTTCAGAGCTGTCAATAGCAACAAGACTTCCCGCGTAAGTATTTAAACGAGTACTCTGTGAAAAGCAGCGCGCCCTACCAGCAAAATATCTTGTCCCCTAAATTGATACCATTCTTTGAACATTACGTCCGGACTCCTGGTATCTATCCTCCGTGGTCGCGGGAATGTAACATTTGTACTCACGCGTTAGTCAAAAAAAATCATGTGTGCAGATCACACGTGTTAGAAGTGAAACTTTCATAAATCTAAGTTTCGAGAGAATGAGACGAATGGACAGTTTCAAGAGTAAGATAATTGTAGGATTTATGTATTGTAATATGATTACTATATATAATCAAGGTCACCGTTATGGTCTCTGTGTGGAATAGTTGATAAAAAGTGCACTTTTCCAAATTCATGCAATAAAAATGGAATGCTGAATGCGATAGTTATAAATAGACACCAAAATGGTAGGATGTTTATCAAAGGAAATATAATTCGTCAGAAATTAAATAAAAATAAATAATCCTTTTTTTGAAACTCAGGTATAAAATTTTTTTTGTTAGTATGGTTTTCTATTTCCCGTTTTCATCTACATTCTTGCGCTGCTAACAAACATTTTAGGATAGATGAAATAAAGACGTTACGAGAAACATATGGAAAATACTGCTGGACTGAACGAAGGTTCTAGTAAAATGCAATGAAAAATCTAATAAAAATATTCTCTAGAAATGTTTTTTCAACTCTATAACCTACCACACTTCGAGACCCTTATTATTTATAACATATCTCGTCCTCATTCTTTGGACCACAAACTAATCTGTCTAAATAAAGATTTGAACAACRGAAATCTAAAAAATGCTTTGAATCGTATCGCTCTCTCAGCTTATCGAACTGTGTACACTACGAGTCTCAAATTTCAGCTCCGTGGTAAGCTCTACCGATTCACGCTGGGCGTTCAACATCTTAAGAATGTTTTTATTTTATTGAAAAATTACTATAAGTTTCTTAAATTCGCCAATATCACAATTTATAATATAATTTTCATATATGCATGGGTCACTACTTCTCTTTGGATATTTTTCATAAAAACATATAAAAATCAAATTTAATAGACATATTTTGTCTTATGCATCAAATATATTTTATAAAGAAGCAAAATAAAAATATAACAGTATTTTACTTGCCTTTGAATGGAATTTGTTTGCTGCTCCTCATTTATTCCACAGTATTCTCTAATTCTTTTTCTCTGATGTATCTGGTAATCCTTTTTTTTTTTTTTAAATATTTCAGACAATACAATTATTATATATTCTATGTACTTCATAATTATTTATTATAATATTTGCTAAATAAATAATTTAAAAATAATTTTTCAATAAAATAGAAACATTTTTAAATAGAAAAGATATGACACGTTGTAAAAAAAAAACTATAGGCATGAATATTATCGCATCCATAAT